GTAGTAGTAGTAGTAGTAGTCGGAGCAGTAGCAGCCGCAGCTGCAGTAGCACCTGTTCTTGTAGGAGTAAGAGTATGGGCAGCAATAGCAACAAGCAGCAGCAGCAGCAGAAGTAGTAGCAGCAGGAAGAGCAGGAGAAGTCGTAGCAAGAGGATGGGCTCAGTGTGGTGGTTGCCTGCAGGATTTCGTCTGCTGGACTTGCGTCTTTTGTGAAGTAGCATAAGTAGCGTTCGGGCGATTATGATGATTGCTGTTGTTTTTGGTTCGTGGGATGTCGGAATTGTTTGGGCTGTTCGGAGGTTGGGGCAGGAAGCTTCAAAAACAGCTGGTAGACACGAAAGCCCAAAGCCCTGAGAACCAAACGCTTGCAACAGCATCGTCGGCGAGGATGGTGAAATCCACTGTTGGGGCCGCTTCTCCTGAATAAGTCACATCGGAAGGCAAGGATCACGCGGCGAGGGTTTCGGAGTCAGCGTTTTTGGCATGGCAGTGGCACCGCGGCCCAGGGGTTTTCGGCCCAAGCCATTCTCGCAGCGTTGGTAAGCGCGTCCCCCGGAACGGCCGGGGAGAACCGCCGTGCATGCCTTCCCAGCAAACACCTCGGCCTCAATGCCCCTTCCCATGTTGATGAGAACCAGGAGCACATTCAAAAGCTGCCGTAATAAAACCGCTTCAAACCCTGGAAGTGGCTTGACGAGACCCATCGACAATCGACTTAAAATGAATACGCTGAGCCAGATGATAGCCGTCACAGTTTCTAGATATCTCATCGTGCCATTTTGTGCCCAGGTAGCGACGAACACAAGCGCAGCTCCGGATCTCCCTCCGGAAGGCCTGGGCCTCCTGGGCCTTCTTCACGGCTCCGTAGCTTCCATGGGTTCTTGTGGCAGCAGTGGTAATGCCAGGTGGTGGTTGCCGTAGCAGCCGTAGCACTTGCAGATGTCGCTGTCCTCGTAGTGCTCGCAGAGCAGGAGTCGGGCCTGAGTAGGGGAGCAGGAGCAGGAGCACGACATGAGAAAGCAAGAAGATGCTCTAACCCGTCAGGTTCGTTTCCATTGCTGCCTCTGGTGGCCATAGCTGTGCTCTGAAGAAGAATGGCTATGCTGTCTGCTGGGGCTTCAACGACTCTCGGAAGTCGAAGCAAAGGTTTGCTCACCGGTGTTGGTCGGGGTTTCTCGCGTGTTTACCCTGAACCTTTGGAAGTATGAGAGGTCTATTAGATTTCAGGGCCTTGTCTCTCGTACGGAGGGGGCAGGCAATGACCAGCAGGGGCTGGCCCGGGGAAGGTTAAGGGCTCTAAGTCTAGATCCCAAGGCTTTCGGGCGTTCTGTTCTAGGTGTGCGCTCCGGTGTTTTGCTGCTTTCTGCCCAGGACAACAACCAGACGGATGCAACTGGACCTCAAGCTTCGGTTGTGGTGATATCAAGTCGTTTGTGCGACCTCGGTACCCACGCATGCGATTTCAATCGGACACAGCCGTGGCGTGGCCCAAATTCCTCAGGAAAGAAGCTGGGCTTGTTGCAGGTGGCATCCTCCAACAGTGTTCTACATTTCTGTAGTTTCGGAATCCCCGAAGGCCGACGCGAGTGCCAAGTGCTTTTCAGAAACGCCGTCGCAATTTAACTGCCCGAGATGTACCGAAATGAGCTGTCACGAAGCAGCCTGGTCACCTGTCTAGGCGGAGGCCTGCAGTTTGAATCTGCCCCACATGGTAAACCATTTGTATGTCCTCCCAGCCGTTCGGATGGACTGTGTCGAGGTTCCGAAGGTCAAGTTCAAGCAGATTGCTCCAGGTGTCTCGACATCACGAAGGAGCGATGACTGACAGGGCTGGAGTTAGGATGGCTTCAGCCGAAGCCTTTGACTATTATGGCGGGAGCTCGGACACCCAGTAATGTAGGGGCCTTAACAGTTTGAATAGGGTTTGGGTGTATATTATACTATAATTATATTAAGGAACCCTCAAAACCCGATTCTAATTAATTATTAAGGCCCCTACATTAGCGCAACCCCCCCAAGCCCAAGGGAGCCAGCCCGGACGGACGGCATCCTTGGGCTCAAACTCCAACGCACAAACTTCGGGGCCGAGAGGTCCGAGACCTGATAGCTGATAGCTATCATGCTGATCTCTACACGAGTTCCCCCGGTGCCGTTTTTGTCGTTTACCCTTTATATTTTGTTTTCGGAATTTCCGTTTGTAAGTTTGGATAAGTGGGATAGATGGCACCCTTATAATTCAGGGGATGCTGCGGGCCAAGAACAAGCCATTCAGAAAGGCTTTCTTGTCTCAGGATCCGTCCATGTGTGTTTGTGTGTGTGTTCGTAGCAGAAACGTTTTGAGTCGTGTGACCCCTGGAGTCCGGCCGCGAGGTTACCTCCACACCTGCGCGCTGACACTCCAAGACGAAGTTCTGTGCTGGGGGCAGAGGCTGCGACAAATTGAGTCACTGTGGCATTTGCTACACATCATGGTTTCTTTTCCAAAGAGTCTGAGTGTCAGCGCTTCGCCTCCGAAGACTGCGACGACGACGATGGGTAGTAGCAGTTGTACCGCTACTGCTACTGCTACTGCTACTACTACTAGTACTACTACTACTACTACTACTACTACTACTACTACTACTGCTACTACTACTCTACTCTAGCTGCGCGCCCGCACCCCCCCCCCCCGCCCTCCCGCTGCTAACTACACTTGCTCCATCCGGGCTGGGCAGTGGCAGCTTCTAGGCTCCCGAAGTGCGACAGCTGCACAAGATGCAGGGGCTCTGGCTCACTATCTTTGACAACTGCAAAAGTTGCAGAAGTTCAAATTCTTTAACTGCACAGCCGGTGAAGTTGCAGAGGCTCAGGCCCCAAAGCTGCGACAGCAGCTGGAGTTGCAAACTCTACTGGGAAGAAACTGCTAAACCACAGCTGGTCGTATGGTACGAAAATACTGTAAATACCGTGCAGTATGCAGGTGCTGCCGAGAAGGTTTTTCTAACACTCCTAAAACCAGAAGCGCAACATCTTACAAACATAAAAAAACAAAGATGCCAGCTGTACGTAGGAGAGGCTCGCCAACACCCTTCAAGCCCAGACCTCGGCGTGGGAGGGTTTGTTTTTGAAGTGGTGTGTGATGTGTGTGCGCTAGGGTGTGGAGATATTGTTCGGGGTGTCCACGAAACAGTGTCGTGATCATCCCCGGCAAAAGCTTCCCCACACCCAGTTTCGAGTTTTCGCCGAGACCCCTCCGAAATCACAAGGTCGAGTTCGCAAAGTCCGACAAAGCACCGTCCATCCTGAGTAAACCGGCTCTTCTGGAGATTTTGTTCGGGGTGTCAGCGTGACAGTGTCGTCATCATCCCCCCCTTCCCCCTACCTCCCCCCCAAAAAAAACAAGTCCGAACTCCGAAGTTCGAGTTTGCAAGCTCGACAAGTCGATTTTGAGGCTTCTTAAGATTTTCCTACATGACGAAAGCGTTGTAAACACCAAGTTAATACGATGTTGTCCTAACGTGGCTAAGACCAAGTGAAGTTCGTAGGGGGCCCTACTACTATTATTAATTCTACAACTACTACTACTACTACTACTGCTGCTGCTGCTGCTGCTACTACTACTACTACTACTACTACTACTACTACTATTACGGGTTTCAAAGGAAGCCAAGGGCACCTTGCATCAGCTCGTCGAAACCCTAAA